GGCATGCCAGGGCATGTCTAGGCATGTCTAAAGCAGCAGCCAAGCATTTTACAGAAGCTAAAAGAGCAATTAGTGGGGGTCTGGAGGGATTGGGGGTAGTGGGTGAATGAAGAGGGTCTCAGGGTCCTACAGTAGGTACCTTGAAATGCAACCCTGGAATGCACTACTACTCAGTAATGTTTTATTGAACTGTGATTTTTTTCACTACCCTGAGATGTTTTAAAATTAGTCTCTAATATCTTGAAGCTCTTTGATGCTTTCCACTCACTATGACTAATGGTTCATAAAGGTGTAAAACTAAGAAAATGGAAAGTTCACCAAATGACTTAATAAAACACCTGGTCCAGTTAGTCCAAGAAAAGTACAGATCATACGTGATAGGTATATAAACTTCTGGTGATATCTGTTTTTGTATACTCCAATGATTGACTCATTGATTCCTAGCCCAATTCATCTGGCCCTCACTATATATTAAAAGGCGGCAGATGTCCTGACTCATGTCTGGGATATCTATTTTGTAGGCTATAATGATTGAGTGAACTCAGGAAGGAGTTTTCCTAAAATAACATGGCCTATCATGAAAAGAAACATAGAGCCCAGGTGCCAGCCATGAAATGGTGGTGTAAAAATGCCTATTTAATCACTGTACTTCTGTTTGAGGCCCAGAAAATCGTGAAGGCTTTGTTGCTAATTCTGGGGCCTTGTGCATGAGAAAGAATAAAAAGACTTTCTCACAACTCTGTCCTGGATGAATGCTGGATCTCTTAGCTGTTTGAAGAATTTTTCCATAATAAGACCATCAATGATGAAATTCAGAAGTGACAAAAATGCCATCATAATTTGTTGTCTTATGATAATCACTTCCCTTTTTGTCTTATTTACTGCTTTTTATTAAATTACCACTTTTTACCTATAAAAAGAGTAACACATTTTACTTGAAAAGAGTGTGGGAGGGTGCCTCTACAAGGCAAGATTTGACTATTGAAATTTAAATTAATGTTAATTGATAGCATAAAAGCTCATTTCCTTGACTATACTAGCCCTATTCAGGTGGCTGGTGGCGGCTGTGCTGGATTACATAGACAGGAAATGATCTGCAGGACAGGACTCAATACTGTGATTTGCATTCCTTAGGAAAAGTTACTTCCTTCTAGAAGATGCTGGCAGGGTGTGGAGCCAACAATGGATTTCATAATCCACTTATAAATTTGCACAATCAGGATAGGAGACTTCTAAGTAGCAAAAATTACTCTATCAGCCAAAAGTGTTGAACAACATAAAGTAGGAAGATGCTAGGGACACTGACAATAGGGAAAGTTCTAAAAGCATTTATAGACTTAGTTTTGAAAAGTTGTTTTCAACCTATGGGTCATGGAGTATGACTCGATTTACGAGGGGTGCTTTCAAAATAAGAATATTTTCACTATTCCTAAATGCCGGTATGAACTGACTCTACTTTCCATGTACACTGTTATAAATGTTCTCTTTGATATGTTTTACGTGACTTACTTATTCATTTCCTTTTGTCTGTTAGAAATCTTTGTCTCCTTAAAACATCTGAAAGTGGATTACCAACTACACGCATTAAAAAGAGCAATGCCTTCTCTGGCTTCAGCCTCCAACACTGCAGGCACAGCGTCCCAGGTAAACAGTGACTGTGCTTTCTTCTCTTTGAGATCAGCTGTTGCAATGAGACTGATGAATGTTAAGCTTCCAAATTTCAAACCTGGCATGTAAATTGTTGTCTAGTGTTCTGTCATTCTTCATTTTACCGTGACACTGATTTCTTGGGAGAAGAATTGGACATTATTGATGTGAAAGATCATGAAGCCTGCCAGAAAATGTGCACCAATACCATTCGCTGCCAGTTTTTTACCTATTCCCCATCTCAGGATTCTTGCAATGAAAGAAAGTAAGACCAGAGTTAAGCAGATCCATCTATCCCGTCTCTTTGTAGTGCCCATTATGTTTACACTGTTTTGTTTTCAACTGTAGGGGCAAATGTTACTTAAAACTTTCTTCAAATGGATCTCCCACTAGAATACTTCATGGGAGAGGAGGCATCTCTGGATACACGCTGAGGCTGTGCAAAATGGATAATGGTGAGGACACAAGAACACAGCTGAAGGAACTGTTTGATGCTGCATGTATCAAGGCTAAGTGAGTCAACAGGAGTCACAGAGGGAGCTGGGGATGCCTACACACACCTGTAATTCCATCGCTCGGGAGGATGAGGTGGGAGGATCAGAAGTTCAAGGCCAGGTTGGAATATATAGCAAGGTCCTGTCTCAAAGACAACAACAAAAATTGTTAAACTAAGTTAACAATTTCCCATTGTTTTTACTTCTTTTGCCCAAGCTAGCTATGTGTTAAATGTATAAACTGATTCTTGAACTCCACATTGACTAGATGATCTCAATATGTATTCTAATTTGAGGCATTTAAAGAGGCGTTTCTTCATGAGATACAGAGCCAACCAATGCTACAGTCTAATTCTTTTTGTTTGTTTTACTTTTTTGCTGTTTTTTAAATTTTTTAAATAAATAATTTATTGAGAATTTCATACATGCGTATAAGGTGTTTGGATCAAATCTATGCCCACTCCCTCCCCTCCAACTCCTCCCATACCTCCCCATCACTTTTTTTTCTGATAACTTCATGTACTCTTTCTTCTTTAATTTTTAAAGAAAAAATTTAATGGGGCTTTTGGCTACTCTAACATTCCCCCTTCTGAAGCAATAACCCTAAAATCTTTTAAGGATTCGATAAAAGCTCCCAAACATTTTCGACATTTTTGGCCTTTGGAATGGAGTAGGTTGTTAAGAGGCCCAAGGCATTGTGACTTTTAGCCAAGAAACTGGTTACTTTTCTTTGGGGTCTTTCTACCCTAACTGCCTAGCAAATTCTTACCTCCTATTCTATCACACCATCCTCTGAAGAGGTTACCCAAATTGCTAATAGGGAATTGGGATGCAGACCGCTCTGGTTTGTGACTGCTCTGGCTTGTTGTTTGTTTTTTGACAGTGTCTCTCTGGTCCCAGCCCACCTGGCAGTCACTATGTGGACCAGGTGGGCCTCTATCTCACAGAGATCTACCTGCCTGTGCCTCCCGAGGGCAAGTCTAATTCCTTATAGCAATACCAATGATCATTTTTTGCTATCCTCAGTTATTGAAACACCAATCAGTGCCTTTGTGGTAAGGCCTATGGGGACCTGCCCCTCAGAGCACCCCAGGCCACCACTGGAGTGCTAAGCCACAGTGCGAAAGCCACAAGCATGACTCATGTCAAGATGACCCAGCCAACCGCCACTTCCCAGGCAAAGGCAGGGAGCAGGGCATAAATTAATGTCTTCATGTGTCTCAATACATCTTTGCACATCTGACCCCTGGCAACCCTGTAGGCTAGAGTGCCCAGTTAGAACATATGCAACATACATTTCCATATAAAGAAGAAAAGAAATAAGGGTGTAACAAGTGTGTATAAGAAAGCTCCCTGCTGTGTACTAGACTCAACCTTTGGGTAGGAAACCACAGAGTCTACTATCATATAGTAAGCTTGACTTTCTGGTGTAAAGCCTCCCTGCCTTTCTATAGGAGTACACTGCCTGAGTTAATCAGGTATTCATTTCCTTCCTACTAGATGTTTTAGTGAAACATAAATAATTATCACACATTCTGAAGTTATTCATGAAGTCCTGATTTGGCTCCTTTTCAGGGACATCTTTCATTCAGACTCCCTTCAAAGATTCTTCAGACTAATGAATATTGGCAGTATTTATAGAAAACCTTAGTAATTTGTTAAAATGACTCTGGAAATAAAAAGATTGTCTATACTATGTAAAGTCTGTAATAACAAAATTTATAATGAAATCAACTCAGCAGTATTTCCACCTAGTGGATAATTAACACAGTAGCAACAGTTAGTTTGTAGGCAAATAGAATTGTTCCATGAGACAGAATCTCAACAAAAAAGAATATGCCATAACTATTTCTCCTTATGTTATCATAAAACCTAGTATGGGTTCACTGTATACTGACTAATATCAGTATGTATTTTAAGACTATTTTTGCTTAATGTCCAATGTCACAGTACCCTACAAATTGTGATGTATTTAATGAATACAGTGGGGTGATAATATGCTTTATGGTCTCTTTAGAAGTGTTGTGTAGGATTATTTGTTATGCTAAGAAGATAATTCAGTCCTTAACTTCTGAGAACCCATTTTGTAGCAAGTATATTCCATGACACCAGTAGTAACATCCTAACCAAAAACTACACCATCAGAGAATTGAGAGGTTTCATGAGACTCTGGATGACTTAAGCCTCTTTGGAAAACTAATCAGATTATATTTCATATATTTGCTGTTTTGCTCATGAAAAATTTAGCTAAAACAAAAAGGAACACTCAAAACAAGTGTCTTAATTCTAATTCTTAGCAGTAGAGAGGACATTAGCTAATTTTCTTAAGTGATGTGGGCATGGTTAAAAATTGGGAACTAGGACTTACACCTTGATAAGTAGAAGCTTTCATCTTTCACCCCTTCCTCCTTCTGTATCTTCATCTCTGTTGAATTTATAGACTTTGGACTGTGAAAGTAACTGAATTCCATCAGTTATAGATTGGCAGCTACAGCAGAAAATGTGAAGGAAAATTAAATTGTATGTATTTTTAGTGCATCCTCTGGATTTATGAACCAGGCAACTAGGTTTTACTGTATTACATTAGAAAAATAATACCCTAAGATGAGAGGGATATCTACCTGGGATGTTCACTGTGCTCTATATGGTTGCTGATCTATAACATAGTTTAACTTGTTGAAGACGGCAGCATTGCCACTAAAAGGAATATTTCCCAACATCATCTATAATCTTGAGCACTATATTTTCAGTATTTTGTTTAAACTGAGAAACAAAACAGAATGAACATCAAGACCTACAACTTTTACCTAAGGTCTTTACTGAGTGACTTCTAATGTGTCTTAGTTACTGTTCACTCATTTTCCTCCCTAAACTCTACCTTCTTGATACTTCTTTGCTTGTAGATGAAAGGGTTTCCTAGAAATGTCTCAAGTAACATAATTACTGATGAATAGTGAAGAGTTAGGAAGATACTCATTGCAATCCCTCTGTTGTAGAGTGCACAACTAAAATCAAGTCCAGAATTGTTGGAGGAACTGCATCTGTTCATGGTGAGTGGCCATGGCAGGTATCTCTGCACACCACCTCACCCACCCAGAGACACCTGTGTGGAGGCTCCATCATTGGAAACCAGTGGATACTAACTGCTGCTCACTGTTTGCATGGGTCAGTACACTACTGTTCTTGTTAGTTCACCATCATCATGTATGAGTGAAATTAATGACTACCATGATAGTAAATAAATCACTCTATGAAGATAATTTTGTCTTTGTGAGAAAAGATGATCATAAAGAAAAACTAACCTCTCATCATCTAGCAGCATCAGAAGGGGTCAGGAACTTGGTCAGTTGCACATATTCCACGTTCTCATTTACATGTAAACACATTCCGAGGGCTTTCTGTGAGAACGGAATGTGTGTTGGACCCAGAACTCAACACTTAGTTCCCTTCTCTTTGAGTCATGTTTCTCTCTCTCTCTCTCTCTCTCTCTCTCTCTCTCTCTCTCTCTCTCTCTCTCTCTCTCTCTCTCTCTCTGTGTGTGTGTGTGTGACAACTCTCCTTACCTGCATCCTCTCCTTGGCTCCCACTCTTCAACCCTTCTCCCTCCCCTTAATTCCTTACTCTACCTCTCTTCCAGATTTAGCCAGACCTCTGGGTAGGGAAGCCACCTTCCATTTGTTTTGGCCACTCATCCACCACCTCTGGAGACAAGGTAGTCTGGTAATCTGGACCTGACTGGGGGGGCAAGGGGTGGGCACCGGCCAGGTCCCAGGAGTTCTGGGAGTGTCGTGGTGTAAGAGCGAGACCACTGAGGACAAGTCAGCCTTTGGGTTGCAACAGCAAGAGGTTTATTCAGGACACAGGTACCTGTGGGCACAAAGTCTCCTCGGAGGACTTGCGCGCCCCAGGTTGAGTTCAGGGGGTTTTTATAAGGCAGAAGCAGGGTACAGAAGCAGAAACGCGGTTATTGGTTAATTTCAAACACACATAGTAATTTTACCAGTAATTTCAAAGGTATGCAGGGGTATGGGGTAAGGTCCGGGGCTGAGGGGAAATAGGATTGCTAAATGGGAGGTGACCTCAGAAGCACAGACGTTTTCTAAAGATTTCCTGGTATCGGGCCCCCAGGGTGGTCAGGAGTTCTGTCTGTAAAACTTGTTTATGGCTTAATCTGTGAAGCTTGACTGACGCCTGCCTGTCCTGCAGCCTTTTGATAAGGCTGGTTCTGGTTTTTGTTAAGTTTTAACAAGTGGGCTGTGGGCCCCTGAGCACTCATGGTGCCTAGTTTCTTTTTATTTTCTCACTCCCTAAACTCTACCTTCTTGATACTTCTTTGCTTGTAGATGAAAGGGTTTCCTAGAAATGTCTCAAGTAACATAATTACTGATGAATAGTGAAGAGTTAGGAAGATACTCATTGCAATCCCTCTGTTGTAGAGTGCACAACTAAAATCAAGTCCAGAATTGTTGGAGGAACTGCATCTGTTCATGGTGAGTGGCCATGGCAGGTATCTCTGCACACCACCTCACCCACCCAGAGACACCTGTGTGGAGGCTCCATCATTGGAAACCAGTGGATACTAACTGCTGCTCACTGTTTGCATGGGTCAGTACACTACTGTTCTTGTTAGTTCACCATCATCATGTATGAGTGAAATTAATGACTACCATGATAGTAAATAAATCACTCTATGAAGATAATTTTGTCTTTGTGAGAAAAGATGATCATAAAGAAAAACTAACCTCTCATCATCTAGCAGCATCAGAAGGGGTCAGGAACTTGGTCAGTTGCACATATTCCACGTTCTCATTTAAATGTAAACACATTCCGAGGGCTTTCTGTGAGAACGGAATGTGTGTTGGACCCAGAACTCAACACTTAGTTCCCTTCTCTTTGAGTCATGTTTCTCTCTCTCTCTCTCTCTCTCTCTCTCTCTCTCTCTCTCTCTCCCTCCAAATACAGAAAGAATTTATTATGCACTGCCAAATGCATAATGGATTCCTTACTTAGGTCACTTTCAACATTGGCCAAACATAAACATTCCAGCTTAGGAATGTGTACATTACAGAGAATTTTAGTTGAGCAAAATTCCTCTCCTCTACATTTAGTGCTCCTTCAGTTGTTTCTGGGAAGAAGTTTTTGCGTTTGTTTAGTTTTCTTGTCAGTATGCACGTACTTACAATTCAAAGCTGTTAGTCACAGGAGTGGAAAGAGGCACAGGTAGAAAAAGAAAGCAACCAACCTCAACAATCCAAATTGACCTTTATTATTGATCAAATGAGGGTGGAAACTGACAGGAAGATTCAGCACAACAACCACACTGATTCAAGCAGTAGGGGTGTTTAAGTATTTGAGGACTGAGTTACGTGGGTTGGTGTTTGTAAAGGGCCTAGGGCCTGTTAAGACGGGAAAGACCTGTTTGCAGCTTTATGGCTTGAGGGTGGCATGTTCCAGGGCTATAGTTTCAAAACAGGGGCTAACAAAGATCTGATAACGTCATCAGCAAGAGTAGTGGTTTATGACCAGTGGGCAGAAGGGTTGTGCAATCTTCCTGTAAAGGCTACATTGAGGTCAACAGTCCTCTTTACATGTTTACATGAGAAACACCAAAAGTCCATGTGAATGCCCCTGTCCATGACAAGGTTGAGGCTCAAACCCAAGACTCTTCATGAATTTCCTTGTGTACATGTTTAATATAAAATAAATGCAAATCCAGCACTTTCTTTGTAGGAGAGATGTTACTAAATTTTCTTTAGGATAAAATTACTTCCTTCCACCTAAAGGCTTAACTTTGTCAGAAAATATTAATGGCCAGCTAAACAGTTATGAAATACAAAGTGTTTGGGAATTATAATAGACTAGTGGTATAATTTTTTTACTTTATTACACTCCTTAGAGTAGAGTCACCTAAAATTCTGCATGTCTATAGTGGTGTCATAAATCAATCAGAAATAAATGAAGATACTACTTTCTTCGGGGTTCAAGAAATAATAATTCATGAGGAATATAAAATGGCAGAGAGTGGGTATGACATTGCTCTGTTGAAACTGGAATCAACTATGAATTACACAGGTATGTAGAATTCTGAGTGGAACTTTATCTATAAAGGTGAGTACATAAAAAGTTGATGGCCTGACCCCTTGTCTCTCCAGGGGACAGCAAGACAGGTAGAGTCTGGGAAGCTAACCTTTATCTCTGTTACAGCTGACACTCATGCCTGAATCCTGGATCATATTGCCAGGGTATAGATGAAAAGACTTTTCTTCAGGCTTCTGGTGCATAGAATGGCATAATTTTATAAAATACTGAAATATTAAGGGTCATTTAGATTAGCATTTTGTTTTAAGGACCAAAGAAGATGAGAATGATTGAGCTAATCCTATGAAATAATAAACTTAGAATGAGAGTTTATAGGTAGAGGCATGCCTGATCTTTCCCTTCAACCTGGGATCAACATATAACACTGAATATGAGAGATGAAAATGCATGAGAAAAAGACAAAGGAATATTAGAATAGAGAAATCACACATAGCATCAAGTAAAATGAGACTCCTCTAGGGCAGAGGGTAGACAGACTTTGCTTCTGTGTTTGTCAGCTTTCATCGCTGTGACAAAATACCTGACCTAATCACCTTGTAAGAGGAGAAAGCTAAATTTGGCTCATGGTTTCAGAGGCTGCTGTGTATGGCTGGGGAGCTCCATTGCATCTGGATCTGGAACAAGGAATTTTCGGTGGAGCAAAGTATTTAACCTCATGGCAACTGGAAGCAAGGAGAAAAAGGAAGGGGCTGGGGTCTTAAAATCCCCTTCAAGGATACATCTTCAATATCATGACTTCCTTCCATAGCCCCCCTCCCCCACCTCCTAAGGGTTTTGCCATCTCCCAGTGTGCTATAAGATGGAGACTAAGTCTTCAACACATGGGCCTTTGGGGAGACTGACCCAAACCGTAGTGGCTACTGACAACTAAACTATGACTTCTAAAATTTAGATTCTCAACGACCAATATGCCTGCCTTCCAAAGGAGATAGAAATGTACTCTACACTGAATGCTGGGTGACTGGATGGGGGTACAGAAAAGTAAGAGGTAAAAGGTCATGCTTCTACACATGCTGCATCCAGAAATTGAAGAGCAGAGTTTAAGCATAACTTTTGTTTTCTATCTAGTCATATGGCCAAAATGCCAGTAAGGTGACATTACTCAGTTGCAGGGAGCCTAATAAAATGGAAAGAAAAAAAATTCATCTAAGAGAGACCAATGTATCTCTCTGATTAAACCTCTCTAAAATCATTTTAACGGAAGAGCTTCAGTTGATGACCTAGCATTTGTGTAAAACCCTAGTTTGTTATCCAATTATATTGTCTGAGAAAGTAATTCTACTTACTGTCATAATTAATTTTAAACTTAATTAACATTAGTAAAATGATGCATATATTAGTGAAATAATGTCTTCTTTATACTCTGCAATTATAAAAGGTCTATAAGTTGACCTTAATATTTTTCTATATTTTTATTCAGGCAAAATTTAGATATTTAAGTGTATTTATATACATGCATATTATTGCATTAAAAGACTAAAATGATTTTTTTCAGACAAAATACAAAATACTCTCCAGAAAGCCAGGATCCCCTTGGTTTCAAATGAAGAATGTCAGACAAGATACAGAGGACATAAAATCACCAGCAAGATGATCTGTGCAGGATATAAAGAAGGAGGGAAGGATGCATGTAAGGTAACAGTATTTTCAACCAGTTCATTATATTTAATTGCTGTATCTATTTTTACTTTATGTGTGTGTTTTGCCTGCATGTATGTAAGTACACCCATGTGTGCAATGCCCACAGAGGCCAAAAGAGGGTGTCAGATCCCCTGGAACTGGAGTTATGGCTGATTGTTAACTACCATGTACTAGGAACTAAACCCAGGTCCTCTGTGAGAGCAGTAAGTGCTCTTAACCTCTGAGCCATCTCTCCAGCCCCCAATTCATTATATTTAGGAGGCCAGTGCCTTATCCATTAAGCCACTGGGGCTCAGTCCCAATTCATTATATTTAAATTGGAATATAAAATATGTTTTTAAAAGGAGTTCTGTTGTTGAGCAGAAACATAGTAAATTTATTTTATTTAAATTAAAATCCAAAATAGACAAGCTTGATGAAGGAAGTTAGTCAAATTCTTAGGTGTTTGTGAAGGGGTCAGGACAGAATTTTAGAGAAAATGACTGTGAACAGTATTTATTTAATAGAGGAAGCATCTGAAGTGATCTGTGCAAATTTTCTTTTCTCCCACCTTCACAGGGAGATTCTGGGGGCCCCCTATCCTGCAAACACAATGAGGTCTGGCATTTGGTGGGCATCACAAGCTGGGGTGAAGGCTGTGGTCAGAAGGAGCGGCCAGGCATCTATACCAATGTGGTCAAGTATGTGGACTGGATTTTGGAGAAAACACAAGCCGTGTGAAAGAGCCAGATTGCTGCCTGGAAGAGGGCTTGATGTCACCAGAAAAGATACTGAGACATCCTGTTTCCTCCACAGTAACAAACTGGAAGGGCTTGATATCCATAGGAAAATACAAAAAGAAAACATTCTCTTTTCTCTTTTCAAAAATCGTATGTCTTGTAGCCAAGAAACTGGCTACTTATCTTTTGGGTCTTTCTTCCCTAACTGCCTAGCCAATTCTTACCTCCTATTCTTATCACACCATCCTCTGAAGAGGTTATACAGATTGCTGATAGGGAATCAGGATGTAGACTGCTCTGGCTTCTTCCATGCTGAACAGGGATGCAGGGTGAGGCAATTAGGGTACCCCTCTGTGGGGCTATCTAAAAGACTCCCAAATTGCATAATTCTTATCTGTAGGGGGAAAAGAAAATCCTTAACTGATGCCTAGGAGATGTGAAGGAGAGAAGTAAAGGCAAGAGTTGTTAGCAACATACTCTTTTCCAAAGGCCAAAAATGTCAAAAGTATTTGGGAGCTCTTATCTAATCCATAAAAGATTTTAGGGTTATCTCTTCAGAGGGCAGAATGTTAAGAGTAGCAAAAAGCAACCCCCCAAAGAAAGAATACATGAAGTTGTTAGAAAAAAAAGTGATGGGAAGAGTTGGAGGGGAGGGAGGTGGATGTGGATTTGATCAAAACACATTATATGCATGTATGAAATTCTCCATAAATTTTTTTTTTTTTTTTGGTCTTTTTGAGACAGGATCTCCCTGTAGCCCCAGCTGTCCTGGAACTCACTATGTAGACCAGGCTGGCCTTGAACTCATAGAGATCCACCTGACTCTGCCTCCCAAGTGCTGAGATTAAAGGCATGTGCCACCATGCCCAGCTTGAAATTCTCCATAAATTTTTTAAAAACATTTTATTTATTATTTTTATTTATATGTATGCATGTATTGCCTGTATGTAGGTAAGTGCATCCATGTCGTGCAATACCCATGGAGGACAGAAGAGGCTGTCAGATCCCCTGGAACTGGAGTTACAAACAGTTGTTAGGTGCCATGTGGGTGCTGGGATTCAAACTCAGGTCTTCTGCAAGAACAACCAGTGTTCTTAACCACTGAACCGTCTCTCCAGCCCCCCCATATTTTTTTTAAGTTAAAAAAAATTTTGTTTGTGGGTATCTGTGTCTGGGCATGTGCACTTGAGTGCAAGTGCTCAAGGAAACCAGATGAACCACCTGTCATGCATTCTAGGACTCTAACTCAGGTCCACTGGAGGAGGAGGAAGCTATGAATGGCTGAGTCATCTTTCCACCCCCAAAACAGTCATTTTTAAAACTCCCATTATGTGAGAACCATAGGTTATTGTCCACATCCAGCTTTTATTCAACCAAATCCCGTCAGGAGATATTTTTGAAAATTAAAATATGCCAGATATACCAGGAAAATATCAAACAATGGCACTGTGTTAGCCTTTTTAGTCTCTGTGTCAACTACTTGAAGCAGATTGTGATAGGAAAGACTTCTCTTGCTTTAGTGTCAGGTATCAGTCTATGATATTGTCTCCCGATTGGCTAGTTCCTCCAAATGGGTGGGGCCTGCTGCAGAGTGTGGACTGTGGGATGCGGCTGGGAGCTATCTTGGGACGGAAGCTGTGAGCCAAGCCAGAGAAGCCGCTAGCCATGGGGAAGTGCACAAGCAGGTGGGAAAGCACAGCCCCAAGCAACAGCTGAAAGACAGAATGGACTGGCTTTTACACCAACCTGGGGCAATCGCTGGCTCCAGAGACGTGAGCAGAATTATGGGTGTGGCATGGTCTGATAAGGTGGGCTCTGAAGCACTGTGCGTGTAAGTTAATAAATACACATAAATATATGGTTTGTCTAATCGCACAGGAGACCCAAAGAGAATTCAGGCCACAGATATAGCCTCTGGTTCCACTGCTTAGTCCAAGGTGAGGCAGAGTATTAGGGCAGCAGGAGCCCATGGTGGAGGAGTCTCTCATTTCATGGTACTCAGGAAGCAGATAGAAACAGAGGAAAAGTAAGGGACAAGAATGATCCTTCAAAGCATGCTGCCAATGCTCTACATCTTCCACTGAGGTCCCACATCCTAAAGTTTCTACTACCTCCAAAATAACACCAGCTGGGGACCACACCTTCATATGTGATGTGAGCTTGTGGAGACACCTTGTATTCAAACCACAACAGGCAGTAAGGGGTCAGGTAGAACTGCTAAGGAAACCACCATATAAAGTTCTGTTCAGGGGCCTGGGGAGATGGTTCAGTGGTTAAGAGCACTGGCTACTCTTACAGAGGACCCAAGTTCAGCTCTGAGTGCCCACATGCCGGCTAACAACCATCTAGTAACTCCAGTTCTAGGGGATCCGAAGCCCTCTTCTGATCTCCACAGGAATTGCACGACACAGGGGGCATTTACATACATGCAGGCAATGCACTCATAGACATAAAATAAATTTTTTAAAAAGATTTGTTAAATAAAAAAATCAAAACCAGAGGAAATGTGGGCAAGAATACACATCAGTTTGAAAGAATCTGTTGTTCTCTGACTGGGTGAATAGAAGAATTTGGCTGAATTCAATGACAGGATTTCAGAAAAATCAAAATTCTTGTCCTTTCAATATTTGTGTGTGTGTGTGTGCGTGTGTGCGTGTGTTAGGGTCCGTGACTCGATGGGTCCCCTCCAGATAACAAATACACGGGATTGGAGATGTAAAAATCAAGCAGAGTCTTTATTTTCCAGCCAGCTGGGGTCGACCGGTTTCCCAAGACATGCAAGTCTGGTCAGAACGATCGACCCCCATTCAGTTTCAGATACAGATTATATAGGCCCACATAGTCATTACACAAAAAAGCATTCCTCAGCAGACACTTTGATCAAACATCTTCTAAAAGCTATAGTTTCGGTTAAACATCTTTTCCAGGAAGGCTAGATCTGGTGTAAGCCTGGTGCAACTTCCTTCTCTTTGTTCCTTATCGGTTATCTGGTATGTGCAAACAGGCCTACAGGACACATTGTAAATCAACTAAGTCTGGGGTCCAGGGTCCAGGGTCCAGGAAGGAGGTTTACAGCACTTCAATTCTTAGCATTTCAACTAGGTTAATCATCCATGTGTGGTAGATACAAATCAGGCAGAACAGGCAAGCTTAGCAAGTAAATCTAAATCAACATTTTAAACAGAGTTTTCTATCAAAATGCAGAGTTCTTACAGCATTCATCAAGGTATTTCATTTTTTTTTCCCAACAACCACATTTTTCTTAATGATAAAATATCGCTTTTTAAATTGTTTTCATTTATTTTTGAGAATTTCATGCATGAGTATTGTCTTTGTATTATTTCCATCCCTCCCAGTTCCCCAATAACTCCCACTGCACTGAGTCCATTTAGTGGTGTTTGTATGTCTCTGTATTTAGGGCTGCCCCTTTGGGATTAGATAACTTCTCAGGGAGCTAGTCCCTGGAGAAATCAGATTCACTCTCTCTCAGCATCCATATCTTTTATCAATCAGGCTTGAATGCTTGGTTGGAAATATGAATACTGTTAGCTATTATACTGGGACAACAGGCATAAACTATGACTGACTTGGGCAAAGACAGATAGTTATCCTGTGTGTAATAGAGCCTCAAGTTATTAAATTTATTATCAAAGCAAAGCAAATAGTATTTTATACACAGTTGTTATGCCAGAGCTATCGCCTGCTTAATTGTCAGGAAATGAGGATCACTGAAATGAACCTCTCAGGTTCTGGTTGGTCCCTGAGGGCTGGTTCTCATGCATTTTGTCCAAACCCCTGTGGCCTTCTGTTTGGCTTCATTTATTCTTCATTGGTCTGCCTTCCTCCCCACTGGTCATTAGGCAACAACTGCTCCACCTGGTGGTGTACGACATAACTCTGCCGAATTACCTTTCTTCTCTTCCTGCCTTCATACTCAGACCTTTTTCTGAGCTTTAGGAAGAAAAATGTCTCTCCTTTACACTGTTCCTTCCAAAAATGTGTGCACCAGACCTTTATTAATTATCCCCAGTACAGCTGAGACCATGATAATTCTTGTTTAGGCTTTACTGAGACACTGTGGAAAAAAGGAAAGGGGTTTGTGTCAGAACTGCTAACAACCCTGCCCCAAATCATGCCTATATCTGTGGCCACTTACTGGTTTATCTTTCTCTTAC